CTTCAGTTGACATAAAACAAAGCAACACAAAGATTTTAACTTATCTATAAAAATATGATTAGAGTACATCAAAATTTTCTTACTCATACAATTTTAAAAACCTACATGAATTTGACTATTAATAGGTTTATGTATACATGAAGATATTATCTCTGATTTTTTTAGTTGTACGTAATTTTAGAGTATTACTTATGAGATATAAAATATTTCAAAGTTGCAACTAAAAAAATCGGAGGTAGTACATAAAATTTAATATATGTAGTAATTTTTTTAGAAAATGAGGGGTATAAATTGTTGGGAGGATACAAGTAGGTTAAGAAGAGTCAAAGTATTGTTAGTAGCATCATCATTTTAGTGTGCTAAAGTTTGGTGAAAAGTTGGTGTGGTGACATAAAAATAATAGGTATGATAATTAATGAATTACATAGTTATATGGATAAGCATGACGTGAGAGTGGCCGGTTGCTCCCTTTTTTAGCCTTCTCTTATCCAAATACCACGCTCGATCATATGTGATATGCATTGTCCCTCACTCTTGGGCTTTGAGCCGTTCTTGCTACCAAACTATCTTAAAACTATCAATAAAAACTTATCTATCAATTATTATTATTCATATTATTGTTAAATTGTAATATATATATATATATATATATATATATATATAAAGCATTTTTCGGGAGCATTTGGCGTGCCACGTAAGAAAAGGTATTATTTTGTCCAATGAAAAATTAGATTAATAATTTATTTTAGAATTAAAAAATTTACTCGCCACCTAAGCAAAAGTGACGAATAAGATTTAAGAATTTTGACACATGGGTAAAAACAACGAATATAGAATAATTAAAATTTAAATTATTTTTAAAAACCAATAATTATCTTCTCTAAAAAAAACATAACCTAAGTAGTAATTATCTTTTTTTATATATATGGATGCAAATTTTTTATCGCAAATATCTTTAATCTCTTCCTAGCAAATATTATAAAAGTTTGATTTTAATAATGTAATCATTGAGACGAATAAAACTAAATCTCATATAATTAATTTTCCATAATTTTTAATAGTTAAACGGTTATAAATGAGACTAACATTTTAAACAGAACGAGTAAATTAAATAAACGCATAGGCAAAAGACTTATTTTGATCAATAAAAAAAACGAGATTTGCCATTTTTTTTTTGAATTAAAAATTTAAATTGTCACATAAGCAAAATTAGTGAATAAGGTTTGAGATTTTAAATTCAAGCGTCACATAAAATAAATAAAACAACAAACGATAACTTTAGTGTTAAAATTAAAAAATTATCTTATGATAATAGAAATTTTATCCATATATTTAATGAATGATCTTCATAAATATACAAAATTTTAAATTAAATAAAATAATTTAGTAGAACCGTGCATCGCGGGCTTACATCTAGTGTACTAGTATGATAATAATAATAATAATAATAATAATAATAATAATAATAATAATAATAATAATAATAATAATAATAATAATAATAATAATAACAAAAGTCTTACACTATTTTGATTGATTGGTTTTATATTTATACATAATCCATGCATGCAGCATGTAGTTTTATATATGACTCTACAAACACCTTTTATAAGCATTATTACTTAACTTATATTGTGTCAATTATAGATTAATTTTGGCCTGTTTATATTGTTTAAGGAAAAGATCATGTTCTTTTGAGATTCAGAGCAAAGCGTAGTAACTTATTTATACTAAACAAAGTAGAATAGAGCAGGGTTTATCAGAGAATATCATACCACAACGATTCAAAAAGTCAAAAGAATGGGGTCTAACTTGCTTTTATTCAAGTGAAATCATTCACCCTTGAGATTTACTACTATTCGGAATCATCTAAATTATAATTAGTTTTTAGCACGTATTTACAGTGAGCTGAGCAAACTCAAGACGACCAATGGAAAGTCTTAATCAATGATCGTACCCTTGATGAAGCGACGACATAATAGTACCCTTTTCTACTATATACTCTAAAGGTTGGATTCCTAGGAAGAGGCTACAACAAAAGACACAACCTTTTTAAATCTAAGACATTTGTGTATTCATAACTATGTACATGTCGAACTAAACAAGTATATTGTCTCCTCAGTTTTCACCAATTCTGCTAAAAATTAATTAACATGCTTAATTGAACATGACATAAACACATAGATATACTATATAGTTTGTATATGTGATAAATATAAGTCGGAGACAGAACAACATGATGCTATGGATCTCTGCAGCATGATTATGGGAATCTGTATCTCATATTCCTATCAAATTAAACATATGTTGTTGTGGAAGTAAAATAATAATGCAACAATTAAATCATGCTATTATGATGATTCCAGATCTGAGTTTACAATTAAAGATGCATCATTATTTGAACATTAATTAAGTCAACAATCATATGGTAATGATGCAAACTGTTCTTAGATCAGGAAGTTTTTCTGACAAATTAATTAAGTTTAGAAATACACTGAGAATCTTTAGTTGTTATTTTGATAAGTTAAGGTACAGAAGTTGTTCTTTCATTTGGAAGATGATTATAATAATTAATTTGACAGTGTTAATCAATTAACTAATCTTAGTATAGTTAACATCAGATGAATGAAAAGGGACGGGTGAATTCTGTTAAAAATGTATTCTTAAGCCACAAATCAAGAACTTAAAGATAGATCTAGATCAGACAATAGTAACAAGATTCAAATAAATGAACTAAAATGTGTCTACAACTCTATGACAAGCATGTCCAATTTATAATATACTTAAATATGATAATATATGACTAGTTTTGAGTCGATTTTGATCCGACTTAACTAAATGACTTATCATCCCAATACAGCTGCAGTTAAAGCAGAATAATCTTATTTGAATAAATGGCTTAGCTAGCTCTCTCCCCAATAGACACAATGGTCGCGAGTGGATAAAGAGGAGGATCTATGTAGGCCAAAGTCTAAGACAAAAGCATTAAGACAGTAAGATACCCCCACTTAGATTAATCAATCTAGTAGTAGAACACGACTAATAGTAGTACAACTTTGTCATGCATAGTCAAACCCACTTACAAATATGGTTGGAGCAGATCATATATAATTAGTACGAATGAAATTATGAATGATGATTTCATTTCATAATAAGCAGTAAAAATAAGAATATAAAAAAGTCTATGATCATATAAATGCAAAATTTAATAACCTCACATCATCACAAAGAAAAAATAGTACCCTATCACTATACACTATACTAGTAATAGTTACACGACAACATGTATCATTTCTTGGTGAATTGACATCTGTCATTTATGCATTCATAGTTGTTCTTCTTTATGTTTCTTAGCTTTTTTTTATTATTAATTATTATTTGTCAACTTTATTCTTTCTTGCCTTTTTTTTTTTTTTTTTTTTTTTTTTTTTGACCCATCATGGAAGGGAAAAAAAATAATTAAATTAAAAAAAAATCAAGAATTAATGATGTGCTTGGAGATCTTAACTAACACTCAAGCCACCTAAGCTTGGATCAACTAAAACTACTCCATTTGTTCTTACAACTGCCTCCTAAAATAAAGTTTACCTTTTTAAGAAACAAGGTAAAATGTTCTAAGGTTGTAAACTTGTAATTTACGATTAACAAATAAGAGAATGAAGCAAATATCAAGAAACATCAAAGAGGGACGAAGGTTTTGTAGTATTTATTAGCTAGATGATATTCGTCAAACAAAACACCATAAAAAAAAATTAAATAGGTAAATGTAAATTTAAACATTTTATTGATTTATAAGTCAAGCAAAAATTGTTGAAGTTAAAACTTAAAATGTTACACAAAGATAAAAGTTGAGCAAAATATGTTAGAAAGATAGCTAGTATTTCTCTTGATTATCTACCTATATATGCTATGAAGATTGTATTTTTATACAAAACTTGATTAGAAGCTTGGTGCTGGAGGCCTGGAGCCGAGGTTGCTACTTAACTACTTAAGCTTGAGTGAACCAAACAAAAGTTCTACCTTAATCTTTCTAATCTTTCTATTGAGTTTTAATAGACTTTTGATTGGTTTTTCTCATTTTAGCAAATTATCGATATTATCTAAAAAAAATATTTCTAACGACATTTATAGCTTATAAATGAGATCTAATAAATTCATACTTGTTGAAAAATAAACACACTACATAAACGTTCTTTAAACCCGTTGTATTTAGATATTATATGGACATTATTACTCGCCACTTGTAAATACCAATGCAATAATGCAGTACACGTACCTACAAACAAACATAACCTTAAAAGGACAGTAAACAAACCAAACAAGATTGACAACCACGTAAGATCCCTGGCCCCAAATGCCTGGTCAATCAGCATGACTCCCACAGCACATGCACACTAAAACATAGGCATTAAGCAACCCCCCAATAGCTTTGGGAGTGGTGGGGAAAATGATTTATACTGCAGGCCATATTACACCAGGAAAAAAAAAATAAAGTAAGAATGCTTCTTCTTGTTGTTGTCTGGGTCCTTATTTCCCCACACCTTTTTCATGCAAATAGCCAAATATGACTAACCACCAAAGCATATACTAACTATACAAATAATGTCACCATAACCATGACATTGTAGATTGTCTGAATAGCGTTGTACTGTAGAGGTTCTATCAGGATGCTGACAGTAACTCGAGGAGGGACCGTAGAATCAGATCTGACAAGCGATATCTCAGGAAAATTCATTCATAACCTGTATAAATTGCACATATGGCTACCGACGGATTAGGGTTCCACCACAACCTGATTAGAACTTTTTTCTCAAGTCTAAGTGTCCACAAATTTAACACAAACATCCACCTAATGGTCCCCTCTTCCCCACCCCTACCAGAATTCGAGAGCTAAGTGAGGTCGATTTTATGTTAAAGGATGCCTTATCCCATTCTGTTTACCATCATCATCATTACATTTCAAAGAGTATGAGCATAATGAAGCCGTCATAATACGTTATCAGTACTTGAACATTTTAACTAGCCAACATGACCAAAGATGGTATACAGAATGGAATTAAAGGATCTCTGCAAGACCTGTGACAACTCAGTTGAAAGTGAAATCTAGCTCAAGTGAAGCTCCAGCTGATATGCTAACCATTTCATCAGTACTTGAAATAATTAAATTTACATTATTTACAGAATTCCTTTCCTAGAAGAAATACAAACTTACAGTAAAGCAGAGTAGTAAGGATTACAAGAAGTCATGCAGCATGGAATGAAACCACGCCAAGTTGACAATTTAGTGTTTTTGGACCTCTATTCTTTCCATTCATAAGGAGCTCGATCGACAACTAAGTAATCTCCTCGTATATCCTTGGCAACTCGGATGTCATCATCCAAATAAACGGATTCAAACCTGGAAGACATATTGATATAAGTATAAAACCAATTATGTAGAATAACTGTATATACTCCAAAAGGTAAAACAAAAATTCTCTGATAGTAGTTCTTGTAAATTAAACATACCTTTATGACTTTATCTTTAATTTGCGTTAAAGCATACAGTGAAGGCTTAAAGAGTTAAAGATAAAATAACATGTAAGAAGGAAAAGTGGTAAAAGTCACTTCAAAAAGTCCTAGAAGATAAAAGGTACTCTGTAGCTTATAAACTAAGACAAAATTGTCTGGCTGGAGAATCAACAGACCAGGTTATCCATCTTTTTAAGAGCATATTAGTCACTTTAAAACTATTTAAAACATGTTTAGATAAGGGAATCTTAATGAAGGCTTAAAGATACCATAAGATGTAAGAAGGAAAAATTGGTGAAGTCACTCCAAAATGTCCTAGAAGATAAAAGGTACTTTGTGACTTGCTAACATAAGACAATATTGTCTGGTTTGACAATCTACAGAGTACAGACCTAATTATCCATCTTTCTAAGAAAATTTTAGTCACTACAAATAACAATATTCAGATGAGGAATCTGAACAAAAGAACATTAAAACACCCATTTTTCCCTTGTTTTGAAGTTAGGTCAGGAAAAGGGAGTGGAGGGAAGGGAACAGAACAATATAACATTTCCTTTCCTTCTAATTAAGAAAACCAAAACCTTCCAAAGTCGAAAAGATTTGGACAGAAGGTACATTCCTACCCTGTTAATCATCTTTTGTGTCTTTTAAGTAGAAGAGTAAATTCTTCTCTTTCTTCTGCAGCCTACCCCATATTATTCTCCCTTTCCTCCCCCTTCCCTTTCATCTATAATTGTAATCTAAACATAGCCTCAGTATTCAACTGACTTCTGAAATCTGTGTCGTCTTGTTTTCTTACAGATCATTCAAAGTCTTTAAGAGCTTTCAGCAAAATCATCTCAGAACTACAAATTAGCTTCAGGCTGTCAGTGAAGCACTCACACATCACTAGTTGTATAACAGAATCTATAGCAAGCAGAAAAGAAATGTTCTCGATACAGTAATTTCCAGTATTCCTTACTCTAATAAAAAAAAAAATCTGACCTTTCTCACTATGATAATATTCCTCTTTACAGTTTACACCCACTTGAAGAAGTCTATATGAGTATACTTTCCCTATTCCTAGTTCCAAAAACAAAACTGTAGAAATCCTATGTAGGTGTTATTCATGAGTAAAGAAAATGCAATATCTTAGAGAAAAGGAACCAAAAAAAAAAAAGATGCAAACAGATAGACAAATTTCCTCCTCAAAATCTGTTGTCAACAGATCCAATTAATCAACCGTACATCCATCAACCTATCTCTCTCCCCCACTCTGTATGAAAAAAGGGTGACGAGGAAGCCTGCCAATACAAATCTTAAAGCGCTCTAAACAGTAGTACGGAGTACATCACTAAGGCAATTAACAGTGGGATGCCAGAGAACAAATAAACAAGAAGAATTTATAGGTGGGATCAGAACCTCACTAAAGCCACTTTGCAGATACTTTTCCCGATTAATTTAGGACCTTACAAAGTTACCAAACAGTGCCATTGCAACTCATCGATCACATTAGTTGTAATCCTAAAGGGTGAAGCCTATTTCAATTTAAATAAAGCGGCACTGATATAGTGATATTTGAAGGCACATAAGTATATCTAATCTATAGCTTTAATTCATTTAGAAATCATACAAGATATAAGAATAGAAACTAGAATATCACTTGCCAATACATAAAACTGGAGGACATACAACTTTTGTAACTTGTTTAAATAGGATGATCAAGGGCAATGTATTGCCTGAAAAGAGTGAAAATAAAAGGCTTCTTGGTTGAGAAATGCAGCCATCGAGCCATACAATAGTATCAGAAAGTAATTGTAAATAATCTAGGTAATGAAACAAGTAGCTTAAATCAACAATTCTTAACAGACTCGACTATAGATGATCGATGACAGCCTCGAATCCCAATATAATTTCCTTCAAATAGTTGAAATCCAACACTCAACAAAATCTTATTGTATTACGAAAGGTATGACTGTATGAGCATCATGCACATACAATGGAATGCTACAATTCATTTCATAAAAATTCTAATAAGCATCCCCTGAAAATGTGAATGCTCAACAGCTATATATAAGTTCATCATGTGCTAAAGTTACACTTACCATCCCTGCCCAAATGGTGGTAAAGGAAACTCCCAATCTTTTCCTCGCAATACTGCACTTGTAAATCTGTGAAAAACCCATGTCACACAAACATTACAAAAGCGTATAATTCCTATAATGTATATTGCACAGGACTGGTTAGGAATACAAAATTAACAAGATAGTTAATAACATGAATGCATTTGTGGAGGCCAACTAGTTTAGTTGGTTAAAGTCTTACGGGTTCATATCGTACATCAGTGCTCTTTGCGGCTCCCTTTACGAATTTTATGAATCCTACTAATATCCTTCTATTTCTTTACACAAACATGAACATCTAACAAACTAAAGTAAGGGAAATGTGCTTTAAAGCAATACTAGAAAACCCAAACAAAATTAGGAGGTAAGACAATGAAATTACCTAAAATTAACTCTTTGATTGGAAGCAACCTCCATACTCGATCGAACGAAGAAAACCCCAGATGGAGGGAAAGTAATTACATTATTGAGCTTAAGATTATCAACATCAATAACTTGAAGAACATCCCCAACTTGAGTACCAAAAAAACTGGCATTTTTTATGAAAAAAAGTTGTTCTTTTTCTGTAGTCCAAAGCATTCGCCAAGTCCCAGAAAGGGAATCATCAGTTGTGATCAAATCTTTACCCAGAATAGCGAGGGAATCGATAGCGGCGATAATTTGGGATCGGAGATTAGGGTTTTGCTGGGTTTTGAGACCGCGATCTTGATCGGAAATTAGGTTGAGAAGGTGGGTTTTGGCGGAGAGAGATTGTGATGAGGAGAGAGAGAATTTAGGGGATTTGGAGGGAATTGAGGGATTTGATTGATTAGGGTTTAAGAAGGGTTTTAGGGAGGAAGAAGGGTGAAAATTGGCGGGAAAATGGAGTATTGTGGCCATTGTTGAGGCCATAAGATGATAAGAGGGATAACTGAAGGGAGGGAAGAGAAGTTATGGCCGTTAGAACTTGTGGTTGAGCACTTTCAGCTTAGAAACGCGAATGTACTCACTCCGTTCCGAATAACACGGAGCACCAATGCTAGTGTTCAGTAATTGCGCTAGATAAACTGATAAATAATACGAATTACAAATATGAACTCTCTCCGTTTCAAATAATACGAATTACAAAAATATTAAACTCTCTGGGTTTCAAATAATACAGAATACTAATTTTAATGTTCAATAATTGCGATAAACTGATAAATGATACAAATAACAAAATACTACTCCGTAAACCATTAATGCTATAAGTGATTATACTATTGAAATAAGTAATAACTAAACTGCAATTTTAGTAAAGATTGATGTGGGATCATTAGTAAAAGAAAAACTTGCCTTTTGATAATTTTACAAGGTGTTAGAAAACATGTTATCAAAATAGCTAAGTCTTTAAAGAAGTCTGGAAAATTATATGCACCATGTAAGGACACAGGAAATTCTGGCAGGAACAAAATGACAATGCATAATCTTTTGAAGGCACATTATCCGCAGAGAGTTGCAACATTAGCAGAACAAAAGAATATATCTGATGTAAGAAATATTTCTAAGCAAATCCTGATCTTCAGATGTACAATTGGTACAATATTCTGTGAGACAAAATTTCGGTAATCAACTGAGTTTACTTTCCAAGTATAGGGCAAAAGAAGCAGGAAACTGGAGGTTTTAATCCCTCTCAGTCACTCGAATCCTGCCATCAAATTATTCACAAGCAGTCAGATACACAGCCCAAGAAGGGCTCTCTCATATTGAGATCCCGTAATTGCTTATCTTTGTCACTTCCTTCGTGAGTACTTTTCGCTCCTGTTTTGCCTCAGCAACTAGGTTTTTGATCTGCAAAATTTACACAGTTGAATGACCGAATAAGTAATATAATTAAATTTATGATTACACCAACTATTGCTGATGTGTTTGAAATAATAAAACAAACCTGTGAACTAAATAGAGATGATTCCCTGCCAGGAAGGTCTGCAAGGATATCTTTCAACCCTGGTAGAGCCATAAAAAAATATATCAGACTCGAAAAAAAGCTGGTAAATATATTCAGGTGAGGCTGGAAATATTCTCCCATACCGCGTGCTTGTTTCTCAATCTTATCAGCAGAATTAACAGCTTTTCTAATCTGATTTCCTGCATTTCTGTCATAAGATTTGCAATTACAATTTACAATATATAATGAGGTGATCACGCAAAACCATATCACTCAAGTAGCAACACAATAAACAAACCTCAGTTTAGTTCTTCCTCTTTTCATCTCCTCCTCTGCCTGTGATGCTCTTTTCTGAAAATACACACACTATACTGAGAAACTTACAAAAAAAATAAACATTGATTTGACACCCCTTTAATATCCAGTTTTCTAAAACACATAACCTGCCCCAATATACACATGCGTAAATGGTTCAGAATATCAGAGTGACCTGCACAGCAAACCCTCTCAAGGGAAAATTTTCTTACAGATGAAAAAGTTTGTGATGCACCCGTTCTTTGGAACGCAAGAAAGATAAAGCTTCAACTCAACTTAACAACCCAGAATTTTAACTATCAGTGTAGAGAGTTTCGGGAGGTCTACAGATGCGCAATTTCACCCCTAACTAATCTTTAAAAGCATCTTCAGCTTGGTTGTTGTTTATAACACCTTCAGCTTTCCCAAAGTTAGTTTCTTTTACGAGACCACAACCCCAAACAAAAAATATAAGGAAGAAAACACGAAATGTTACCTCTAGCTTTTCAGTTGCAGCTTTCAAGCGTTCAAATGATTGCTTCAGCTCTTTCACTTTTTCATCAGCACGAGATATCAAGGCCTGCACACAATTACAGTGTGCAAATGCATCAAGAGTCCTTCCTCTCGCAGGACAAAATAATCTAAGGATGCTAAAGTGCTTAAAAAGCTTCTTAGAGTGCCTACCCCATGATTAGCCAACACCCAGCACCCAGCAAACAAATGTACAAATAAAACAAAAGATATGACACTTGAATTTAAGCTGTGACATTTAATTACACCACTAGTTTTAATTTTTATTAAGAACTAAAATTTTGGTTTATACGACTAACAAAGCCATGGAAAGAAACATAATGATGCAAGCACTTTTTGGGAGCTATAATCCCTCCATGTGAAGAGATCAATGTTTGCACAAAGTAACATTGGGCAAACATTGTTCATCAGGGAATGAAGTAAAAGTCTGCAGTGACTACAAGGCTCGTATAGCAAAAAATTCACCTGAGCAACATTAATAAAATTGATGAACATAAAACCTATGCTTACTATGAAGTAGTAGTCAAATGTCAGTAAACAAATCCGACTTTATACAAACGCTCACCTCTTCAGTAGAAAATAGCCGCAAGGTTTTATAGTACAAAAAACGCCTTGGAGCTGCAAGAAGCATGCTCAAAGTCATATTGGCCAGAAATAAAGAAGAAGAAAACCCTTAATCTGAAAACATATCTAAATATGTAATGTAGCTTAGGTACAAGCAGCCATATGTATTGATGTAGCAAATTATGGGAATACATTGCAACTACCTGGACCTCGGAACATGTGTAGTTCACTAGTTAGATACATTGTATTATGGAACACTACCAGTCCAGGTCTTGCTACTATTTGATTCAAGCAATATACGAATTACTACAGAAAAATTCAGTCAGGACTAAATCATGCCATATATAATGTGAAAGAATTCACAAAAAGTTTATAAAATCATTAATGCTTGAAAAACATACAAGTGTACATCATATAGAATTTTACTTGGATCAGAAGAATAAATTTCACATAAGTTCAATTCTAGTAGTTATAAATTCTATCTCAAAAGGAACTATTATGTTAATTAGACTATCTTCATCAGCTTAACAGTCAGAACTAACATAACAAAAACTTTGCAGGAAAAGATCAAGTGGTTCCTTCTCCCCAAGACTCTCAAAGTACTAAACCACTCTAAAAGCATCAAACCAGCTCCTAAAGGCTTGTTCAATATCATTGCGAGTACTGAATGTTCAGATATTTGACTAGAAGAAAGATTTATACATAGTAAACATAGATTTTGTTGTCAACTTTCAAAATTAACATAACTAGTTCAGGTACCATAGATAGTAGTCCACAAACTCAAAATTTTGCAGTGATGCCAAGCAGTCCCTAAGCTGCCAAAAATCAAGCCTAAAAACAAGTAACATATTGCAAATCTTTACCCACCTAATCAATCTAGGCACAAGACCTTGTCACTTCCCAAGATTCCCAAGTGTTTCAAAGTTGAATTTTAAACAATGCCATAATGCCTCTTTTTTTTCATCAACGTTAACACCTCATTACATGCTATAAAAATCAAGCAAGATCAATATCCCTGCCACCAAGTACTTCAAACAGTTCTGATTAGAAAATAAATAGTATTTAGAGTTTATCGTCTTATCCATCATTTCAGTTTAATATTAATTAATCCCTGAGAACATACCACAGACTATCCATCAGCTTAATAGTATGTATATCCCACTCTAAGGATAACACCTCAAATACCCTTTTCAAGTACAATCAACATTCTTCTCCATGTATGAATAATGGATAAATATAAGAAGAGGTATCACAGTATCATACTAACATTTATCACCGTTCAAAAAAAAAAAAAAAATATTAACATTTATCATCTTGCTACCTTACGATGACCTCTTATCCTCCATTGCCATAATTCTTTTTAATTTTCCTTTCAATGGGCAATTGGACATTACCTAGTGAATTTGATGATGTTTTGGTGATAGATACATCTGGACTAGCCTTCTATCTTGAAAGTCACTGGGTAATGCCCATGGGAAGTAAAACAAGTCCATCTAAACTCAAAGATGACTGCCACCCAATTAGCTCCTTTTTTACTATTTTGCTCACACAACCTAAAATCAAATATTGGCATTACCCCTCCACAAGCACTCACTCAAAAACCTTTGCACTCTCTGCCCTGAATTACCTGATGAATTTGAAAACAAAAGTGCCTTGCTAGGTAATGTCTGGAATTCATGGTCATTATATCAATTTGCTATTAAATCACATAATGCCATACCCTCTCCATCAAGCACTCACTCAAACACTTTGGCACTCTGCTATGAAATAATGTCTGTAATTCTTGATTTTAGTCTTGAGGGATTACAACCAATGTCAAACTGCCGGCCATAACATTCACCGCTGTAAATTCTATCTTCTGCATAATTTCATAAAACTCATCATGCAGCCACCTCTATCCCCCACCAAAAATAATGGGTAAAACATTCAATCCATTAAAATTCAAGCCAATATATATCCCTCTTCTCACACGTCACAACCACCATATATGGACTCCCAGTAGACTGAACCTGCCTTTATCTATGTGTCAACCATTTATCTTCTCTGGAATCGGGAGGGGAGCTCTAACCACTTGAGCTATCCCTCACTCTCCTTAAACCTAAGAAGATAAAGACACAAAGTGAACAATAAGAGGGCTAAGTCCTCTACTGTACAAGCAGACCACATGTTTAAAATTCCCTAGAACCTCACATTCTAACATAGAAACAAAATCATAAAATAGAGTCCCCTGTGAAACTATTAAGAAATTCAGCTAAAAGCATAATACTTCGTATTCGCCACTGATTAATGCTATACAATAAAGTCCATATGAAAATCCTATATTGTCTTCTTTGTTTTACTCATATGCCGCATATGTCAAAGAAGTTTGATGCAGTTTGTATTATAGAGTAATATCAGAACACTAGAGCATCTCTGATTCACAACATTAGTTCAGGAAAGGAGTAAGTAAAGCATCCTTTATCGGCATTTTCATTTTGACCACGCATTATCTATCACATCAACAGTCGTAATAACATAGCCATCAGACAAAACATAAAATATCAGTCCCATGATTCAATATCCTAGCCATGAAAACAACTGAAAAAGTACCAAACATAACAATCACATTCCACATCCAAACTAGCTTACAAAAAACCACGGCAATTCAAACAACAGTCCGTCAAAACACCAATAATCACACATAGAACTCGATTTTCCAGCATCAAACTTTGGCATACCTGGCAGTGCCAACAAACCTAGCCCAGTAACAGCTCCAGTAGCAATAAATGGATGTGAAGCCGCAACCAATGCACCCTCTGCATTCAAACCCACAAAACAAACAAATTAAGCAACTAAAAATTGAACTAAACAGCCAAAACTTTATCAACCCTAAACACAAATTAAACCCATCAACAAAATTTCAATCACAAAAATTCAAACCTTTGACTTTGCCAACGAATTTAGCTTCATAAGCATCATATTCCGCCTTCAAATCCTTAACTGACTCCTGCATTCAAACCCTAATCTCATCACAAAACCTAATCACAAAATTACACATAAAATTAGAATTCGAGAAATAAGACTAACCAGTGTTTGATGGAAATGAGCAGATGAGGTAGAACGGATTTGAGAGAGACGAGAACGAGTAGCAGCAATGGTGGAATCGAAGGATTGTTCGACGGTCTCCTGAACAAGAAAAGCTTGTTGAATAGCTTGTTGAATCCATGGATTGCTTTGCTCCAAGCTTTTCAATGCTTTCTCTACTGAATAAATCTCAGTGCTCGTTAATGGCGGATTTTGAATTGGTAGTGAAGAAGATGAAGATGATCCTTCTTCCGATTCCATTTTCGTTGATTTCAGTTTAATCGTGCTTCCGCATTTGTTTACCACTTTTTCAGTAATCTTTTTCTTTTCTTTGTTTGAAAAAAAAAAAAAAAACCCTATTATGAGAGGCATAAGAGCATGAGCATTGGTGAGGTTACTCACCATTATCCACCTCACTTTCAACTATTTTTTTATTTATTTATTTTCCAAATCATCTTTCACCTCACCTTCCACTATCATAAGCTACTAGTGTGAGTCACCTTATTTATTTATCTACAATGGTGAGGTTACTCACCATTCTCTCTCCTAACTACCCCATCATTTTCTCTTTCTCACTCTTGTTTTATTTTATATTTTTTAAAACATGTATTAATCTCTATTATTTATTTGTAATTTTTGAACTTACATAATTAATTAAAAAAAGTTAGACATTCTTTAGTGCAATATTAATAGTCATTATAAATAGTACAATATTAATAATCACTTATGTATGTAAATTGAAACAATTTTTTTTCTAATTTTTGAAATAAAAACTACAAAAATAATACAATATATAAATGAATTACATATTTTCTACATTGGTAATTCGTTGAATGGATAAACAACTCAAAAAGATTACATTTCTGATAAGGTTTGTAGATTTCTTTTGTATGACAATTCAATGTATGGGTACACAAAACAGTAAAAGATGAGATTCTCTGATATTATTGCTTACAGATTTCTTGTCAACATGTGACATTTCAATGTAGCATTGCATGTCGGTCATATTTTACAACATTTCTCATTATTGAGCTAATTTTATATTATTATTATTTACAAGATATAATTTATTGGGTAATAAACAAAGAGCAATTATATTTTATTAAAACATTTACTTCAATGCATTAAGAAAAAACAACAAAATATTACAAAGGAAATTGTTAAAGCAACATAAGTAACATACATTACATCAATTAAAACTAGAATAATACACATGTAGTTTGACTACCTTAATTGATATTTAAACTAGCCTAGAAGATGTGCAAATTCTTGCTTTAATTTTAGATATATTTCTTTTTCTTCTTTAGATAGAATTGGTTTTGCAAGAAGGACACTAAATAGCTTGAACCTTTTTTCTTCTTGTTTCTTCCGAGCTTTGATGGCATCTCGCTCCTTCTGACACTCTAGCATACGTTCTGCTACATCAATTCGCCTTTCATCAACATCTTTGTGTTGACCTTTCATTACATTCATCTCTGATAGGGCTTGAGTAAACGACTCTAAATTTTTAATTTCAGAACTACCACCAATTTGAATTCCAGAATTGAAAACAGATTTACCTTTTCTTTTAGATGCTTTCACCCCGTCAGGACGACGACGACGAGTATGAGTTTTTGGACCTTCATCAGTTGGAGTATCTGGCTCTAATCTTTTCGAATTGCCACCATCACTAGAAGGTAAATCCAGGGCTATTGGCTTCCATTTGTCTAACTCTCTCAACATCTCCCAACAACCAATTAAACCAAAGCGTGAAACATTACATGTTCCTCTATATATTTCACGAGCTTCGGTCATTTCATCATGAGTGTTGGTACCACTCATATATCTTTTTTTTGCTTCACTATAGCAACCAACCCATATACTCACATCTTTATTTATTCTTGCCCACCGACTTTTAATAGATCTTAAAGTTCTAGGGCGCATGGTGGATGGATTTTCTTCTCTAGCTTGATCATAAAGGGATTTTATGTTCCTCCACATTACCGCCAAACTTTGATCAGTTGCCGTCTCTGGATCTCCAACTGCACGCTCTACCCAAGCCGAAACGAGGGCATCATCTTCTTTTGCACCCCATTTTTCTGCCCTTACATTAGTGTTACTCCCGTGGGGACCTTGAACAACATCATCATCACCAACACCATCAGCATCATCATTGGCTTGTTGTTAAACCCTAGGCATCGGGTGGGGTTAAGTTACTGCTTCTTTCTCCCTCGGGAGTTGCTGGACTGTTTTGAATTATTTGGTTCTCACCCTAATGTTGCGACATTGGGAACATAAAACCAGAAGGATAATTTTGGGGAATTTGTTGCAAATTTTGGTTTAAAAATTGGTTTGAGAATTGCTGGGTGTAATTTTGGTTTGGAAATTGATTTGGGAATTGTTGTACAAATTGTTGGTTTGGATGCGTTGGTTGGTTAGGAATGTTATAAAATAACATCCTTTGAGCATTTGGATTATAAGGGTTATTTGGATCAAAATGAAAATTACTTTGAAAATTTGGAGAATTGGAAGATTGGTTATTTGGATTATTTTGAGAGGAACCACTTCCGTAATTAGGATTATTAAGATCCATAATCACAAATTATTTTTATAATGAAAAAAAGAAGAGTGAAATTTTAAGGGTGAGAAACTATATCAATATTAGGCTCTATTTATAGATAAAATTATAATTATACCGTTGGTGAAATTATTTTTTGGAAATATGTTTAAATGAAGTGAGAAACTACCGTTGGAGCATTATAGCAATACTAACTGTTAAAAATTAATATAGTCGTTGCATTCTACAGCAAACATCAAACACAGATAGCAAACATCAAACACAACTTGCAATATTCATGACAAGTGTCATGTGATAATTGGACCTAAAAAAAACCAGATTCTTTGGTTTAGAAAGTCAGCAACTCACGCTCATACTCAGTGCCGCTTCAGACGTTGCTACCTCATACTGTGAGTAAGTAATGAGTCAGATATTTCAATGGTAAGCTAACTCAAAAAAAGTGAGAGATAGTTCTGAGGAGGGTACTGACTCACCGTTGTACATGCTCTAAGCAACATATGTCATGGAAGTAACATATTTTTTTTTAATTTTATAATTGAAATTATTTTCGTTGAATTTAAATTAATTTTACATGTTGAAATTAATTTTATGGATTGTTATTATTTCTATATTGTGTTAAAGTTATTGATTTTCATTGATTAAAGGAAAAATGTAAACTATTAATCCCACCTTTAGTTGGTCTTCCACAAACAATCCCACCTTTTGAAATTCTAGAAACAATCCCACGTTTTGCTCCTATCTTCCATTGTCAAAAAAAAAACAATCCCTGACCGGTTAGATTGATTTGGTAACCGATAATAGGTTTAGTCTGATTTTTAATAATTAAAAAAAAAACAAATCTAATTTTAAAATTAAAAAAAAAAAAAAAAACAAACAAAACCCCCAGCCCCGCCACTAGCCCAGCGCTGCCACTGCACTGCACTCCTCTCCCCATCCCCGCCCTTGCATTCCCCGGCAACCACCACCCTGAAAACACCACCAGTCGCACACCCCTTCCACGACCATCAATTTCGCACAATCCCGGAGTTCAACGTTGATGTAATTCGAACACCTGGAGTTTTGAGATTTTTCGTGGGGGTGGGATTTCGTTGGGGTGGTGCTTGGGTTTTGTGGGGCTGTAGGCATGGGTTTCGTGGGGGTGGTGGGTTTTGTATAGGTGGGTTTCATGGGGTGGTTTTTGTGGAGTTTTTCAGGCTAAGGGTTGAGTTTTTAGGGCCAAGAGGAGTTATTTGGGGTTGTGGGTGGTGTTTTCGGAGTTATTGGTGGTGTTTTTGGGGATGTGGGTGGTTTTTTCAGGGGTGTTAGTGGTGTTTTAGGGGGCTGTGGGTGGAGTTTTCGGGGCTGTAAGCGGTGTTTTCGGGGTTGTGGATGGTGTTTTCGGGGCAGTCAGTGGTGTTTTCGGGGTTGAGGGTGTTGTTCTCGAGGCTGTGGGTGGTGTTTTGGGGGGGCTGTGGGTGGTGTTTTCAGGGCTGTCGGTGATGTTTCGGGGCTGTGGGTGTTTACGGGGCTGTGGATGGTGTTTTCGGGGCAGTCAAAGGTGTTTTCGGGGTTGTGGGTGGTGTCATTTGGGCTTGGCTCGGGTTTTGGGGGGTGGTGATGGGTGTCCGTGTGGTTGGAATTTTGTAGTGGCCTAATGGGTGGAGGTGGCGGTAAAGGGTGAGGGTTGGGGTGACCACGATGGTGGCTGGTGGTCGTAGAAGAGATTGTTAGTGGAAGATCCCTATCAAAGGTGGGATTGTTTCTGGAATCTCTAAAGGTGGGATTGTTTGTGGAAGACCGATTAAAGGTAGGATTATTAGTTTACATTTTTCCTTGATTAAAAAGTATTTTTACCAAAGTGAAATAATCTTAATTGAAATGAAATTATTGATGAGAACGCCCCACTTGATATATTTCATAAACGTTATTCGTTTATCAAGTGGTTATTTTGTAAATAAGTCAAACGGTATTAATTGTCAACTCATGAGTATGTTGTCATTTACTGTTGTGTGGCAAGGTGTGTCATTTAACTAAGCCAACAATGAAATAACTCCGTGATAAAGCTTCATTCATTCATCAATAGCGACCACAGAACCACTACCACCCGAACCAAATATGAACCGCTTTGCGAATACCATCTCAACTCCACCCATCGAGAACATCACCATTATCGGCGGCTTCGCCGCCAAATTAAACGAAAACCCTATGAATAGAGGGTTAAATTAAGGGCATGGTCAACCCCAAAGAGTAGAGTTTACCATGTCCTCCATTGAAGCAGTGTTCTTTGCTTTGCTTTCCGAATATGTTGTTGAAAATCGTGGAAATTAGGAAAAAAATTATAAGGAAGATGAAGGAGGAAGAAGTACTTTAATGGAGCAAACAAACGTTACGTTGTAACTTTGTTTGGTAGGTAGCCATTAAGTGAATTTCATGATATGTCATTGTATCCATATCAGTCATGAAAAAAGTACAATCTTACCCTTTTGTAAAATATATCCAAAATACCCCTTAATATGTTTTTTTTTATCATATTCAACTAGTATTTTCTCGAAATAATTTTCATTGAATATAATCTTTATATGGTGAAGATAACGTATATATTACCAATGACAACTATTAATCTTCGGTCTTAGTGCACACGCTTATATATACCTATACATCAATAAATGTGTAACATTTCAAGTCAATCCACCACGTGTTAGTAATGGTACCTCTTATCATACACTACATGATAAAAATTAAATTACCAAATACGGAGTATAACATTAAAGTGACCTTAATTAAATATACCAATTTTGATACCATTATCAAGTGAAAATAATAAAAATATACATATTAACGTCTAAGCAAACAACAGGAACAACCCACTCATTTATGTTCACCTTACAAAAATTCAAAATCACAAAAACTCAGTTAATGTAATTTGTTCCTCTCTCAATAGAAGGCGCCCGGTTTATCTTGATGATAAACATGGGGTGTTTTTCTAGCATTAGAAATGGGTTAATTTGATTAAAATGATATATTTTTTCTCAATATCATGTTTTATAGCAGTATTTTTCTAGTGACAGTGTTAATGGACATCTTTCGCCTTCATTATTAACATTCTCTGTTTTGTTCAAATTTAGCATTAACTTTTTTTGTGCATTTGAAATTACATAACTGTTCATACTTAAAGGAATGATGAATTGACGTTTATACCATAGATAAACAAATATATCTTATCATGAAGATAAATTTGTATTTACTCCTCTCAATATTATTACACTTCTGCTATTACTTTATTCGCCTATTTATTTCACCCGTGGTCATATATATATTCAATGCTAATTTATTAGTTTTATCATTTCAATCATGACCTAATATAAGTCAATTTGGATCCATTAACACTTTAGTCTTTTGAATTCACCTATTAGTTTTTTCAATTTCCTATTCGAGTTACACTGCAAATAAAAGTTATATCACGAGATACACATACAACAAAACATAGGGTAATTTAATTGCGTGCGACTATTAATATTGGAAAAGTAGATATATACTCTCTTCGTTTTTTTTTAAATGCATCACTTGAGATTTTGCACTTTTCATATGTTACCTTTGACTTATTTTTTTTACTACTATATAATTTATAAACATGGTCATGTAATATATTGTTGGATCTTTACAATGCCTACTTTCATAATATACTTTGTTATAATTTTTATTAATTATATAATTAAAGATATTAGTGGACAAAGTTGTGATTCAGCAAGTGTGAAACTCAGGTAATGTATTTAATAAAAATCAAAAGGAGTATTGAAATTGATGTCATGGGGCAATGCACATGTTTACAACAAAACATAGGTTAATATCTACACGGCCAAACCATTATTGTTAGTGTGCAAGAGCCTATAAAGGGTCCTTGGTGGGATGTTCTTGAATGGAGTTGGAGTTCATTTGATCTAATCTATTATTTGGTTAGGTTTTTTTAGTATTTAATAATGAAACTTCATACCAAGGGGTTTTTTAACTCTATCCACCCCGTAAAATCTCATACCTATTTCACCCCCTTACATTCACAATTCATCTCATTGACGGGGTCTAGAAACCATTACAACAATAAACCAAATAATTTTAAACTAATACTACATATTAAATTTTGATTTCATATCTGTTTGGTTTGAGATTCCACACTAATTCATTCTAATTTAACAAACTTGAAAACTCAGATTTTTATTTCCAAATGTATAAACCGAAGTCAAATTCATTAACTTCTTACCAAAATAAAAATCGAGTTTCCAAACACAGCTTTAAAAAACCCGCGACCGCGGGGGCAGCAAGACGATAAAAAGGCAGAATAACATGACTATCGCCAAATCGCCATCCCTAAAATACTCCATTAAACCCACACTCTCGAGCCCTCTTTAAAACCACCCCACAATCCATCTCTCAAACCTTTTACACCTTCATTCATACATTCATATTCTCTCTCTTCTTTAGCATTGTTGATCCAACAAAAACTGAAGAAAACACCCCAACACTCGAAACTCGAGACTCTCCCTCACTTCTGCTCTCTTTCTCTCTCCCGCAATTCCACCCCCAATCTCTCTCCTCCCGAAACCCTAGAACTCCGCTTGATTTCTCCTTCAATCTGCTGCGATGCAGGAATTTTCGGCCACGGTTGCCAGCCATGTCCGATTCCTTCTGCAAAGCTTGAATGGATCCAACTCTGATTCTGTGCTTCAAGAGCTTTGTCAGGTCTTTTTTCACTCTTATCTTTGTAAATTCGCTGTTTTTCAATTTTGGGATTTTTTCTTTTGTGTTGATTGATACCGAGAAAACCCTAGATGGTTTAATTTGATTGACTTTGATGCTTGTCTTTGAATTTATTAACTCTTGATGATAGGTTTGAGCTTGTTACTGTGGTTTCTGCATTTAGGGATTGTGTACATTTTTGGGTTTTAGTTTTTTGCGATTAATTTAGCTTCAGTGGGAGTTTGGGTTTATCTGAATTAGTGGAGTATATATGTATATTTATATATATTTTTCGCTTTATTTTA